TTTTTATTAGCAAAACTTGTAAATTGATTTTTACATGTTTGTTTTTATGTATATTTTCTGTGCTTTGGTTTGAATGTTTACGGTCCATGTGTTTCAGTGTGTGTCTTTGCTTATTATTACTTATATTATACTAAAAATTGGTGTCAGATTTCTGTATGAGTGACACCATCCTAACAAATCATTAACTTATTATTATATTAATATTAATTATTATCATTATTTTTTCATTGTAATTATTGTAAACATACCTATTATTACTATTACTATAATTTGTATAATTATTTTTTTTATCTTATGTTATTATTATATATTTTTGCTATTATTACTATTATTATTTTATCATTATTATAAAAACTATTGTAAAATGATTTACGGAAAATAAATAGCTAGTTGTTGTTTGTTGTTGTTGTGAAGCAAATATTAAAATCAAAGATGGTGCAGTTAGTTCAACAACAATGTAAACTAAAAGCATTAGCTTTGATTTGAATGCCGACTTAGTAATGCCGATTTCCAAGCAATTTGCAGTTTTTAAAGGAAACAAATTATATCCTACTTATAATAAAGTAAGGAAAGAAAAAGATTTATGCATACCTCGTTGTGGAATACAAACTACTGATTATTCAGCCTCAGTTGATTTATAGAGTCTTATTGATCATACTACATACAGGTTGTTAAAAATACTCAATGAATCTGTAAAGACTCCTAATAAATCAATTCAGGAAGTGCTAAGGTTGTTACACAAGATTATATTTTCTTCAAAAACAGTAATTCAAAACCAATATTCTTCAATTCCTTTGTTATCAAACATAAGTTAGGTTGCACAGTGGTTAATGGAAAAATGGCTACTATTCTTTCTCATGAAATGTTTCTATGTTATTCTTTGTGTTTTATCATGCAAACATTAAATTAATGCTAATGAACTTGAAAAATATACCAAAAGAAACAGCAGAGCTCTAAGTTTCTCTATACCCATGGTTCCCAATGCCTCAAATTGTACATAAAATTATAATTCATAGTTCTCAATTTGGAAGAGATAAATCAGTAGTAGAAGGTCTTCTTTCTGAGGAAGCTCAGAAATATTAAAATAAAAGACGTTAAAAATTATAGAGAACACTATATGAGAAAGTAATCAAGATAAGTCACTAGTAAAAATGCGAAGATTATTGTGCAGTTCAGATACACTTATTAGCTCTCTAAGAAGAAATTTGAGATTGTATTAAACTTTTATGGTAACTTTTTTTAAATTTAAGTTTTGTTTAGATTTCTGATAAAATACCTAACTAATGTTTCTTTGTTTATAAAAAGGGGTATAACATGTAACAAACATTTTAATTAATTAATGCTTTGAATCTAGGAAAAACTGTTTCTAAAAACAACCAAAAGTTGTAATTAAACTCCCTAACGCCCTATACACCCTTCTGTTAGGATGTTTAGGATGCCTGCATCTTCACTAAAACAATCATGATTTTTTGTCCATTTAATGTCAATCTTGGTTTCTTTTCATTCATCTGGAGTTAATTTAAATTCTTCAGGTGATGAAGATTTAATAATAAGCAAAAGTGCTGAAGATCTGGTTGACTGCTTCAGTTTCTATCTGATATAGAGTAGGTATGTGTCCCCAAACCTAATTAATAGCTGCAATCTGTAATAAAGCTGATGTGAGTCTAGAAGATATTATTCAGTACTTTCTACTGAAAGTAATTCAGGAAAATTGAAACATTAGGAGACAATATTAGGCAAGAAACTATAAATACTTGAGTATTATAAATACTAAGGGAAGCATAGAGCTTGTTTCCCTTAAAAAAGGAAACAAGCTCTGTGTTTGTACTTTGTTTGTTTTGGTGAAAAGCCGATAAATCAGATTAAAGAAGATCTAATTATAACTGTTCTGTAGAAAAAGTAGTATATATATATATATATATATATATATATATATATATATATATATATAATATATATATATATATATATATATATATATATATATATATATATATATATATATATATATATATATATATATATATATATATATATATATATATATATATATATATAATTGCCAAACTTAATAGTTTTAATAGTGTCCCTTCAAGCGTGTTTGACACAAAAACCTTGGCAGAAATTGCAACTAAGGTAATGGCAAGAAGGAGTCGCAGCACTTTTTTTATAAGAATATTATTTATTATGTAATGCATATTTTATATACATATATATTATATGTATATATGTATATTTTATATACATATATATTATATGTATATTTTATATATATATATATATATATATATATATATATATATATATATATATATATTAAATAATTTATTATGTAATATAATATAATATGTATATTTTATATACATATATATTATATGTATATTTTATATACATACATATATATATATATATATATATATATATATATATATATATATATATATATATATATATATATATATATATATATATATATATATATATATATATATTATTAAATAATTTATTATGTAATATCAAGTTTTACAGTTTTACTTGCATTACAACAACATATCGTAAATTTTGATCTCTAGTGATTAATTCCATTTCATTAAGTCTTTTGTTTGTTAAATAATTCTAAAATTCTATCTGCATATAAGCATGTATGAGCTTCGAGCCCTGGAACTTTTTTTTCTTTTTTAAATTTTTTATTGATTTTTTAAAAATATAAAATAAAACACTTTTTTGATACATGATATATTAATAGAGAACTACGAAATGGTTTTGTTTTGCATTTTAAATAATTAAAAAAAAAAGTTTTAAAAAAAATCAAGCTTGCCGCGCAACGACCTAAAATTTTTTTTCGTATTTTTTTATGAATCTAATTATTTAGTACAGTGTTATTGTCTGGTGGTGGTTGATATTCAGGGTGGATTTTTTGAAGTTAAATTTACTCTAAAAGAATCTTTTAAATTTACTTTATAAAAAGTTTACATTTTCTTTTTTTTTCAGTATTTTTCAATTTCAAATATCATTTCATTTTTTTTTTTTTAGATAATTGTTTTTAAAAAAAATATTCCATTTTTAGGTTTGTTTAATTTAAGTCTATCAATCGTTAATCAATAACAATTGCAATTCAAATCTAAAGGCGAAGAAGAAAAATCATCAATCTTCATACCATTTTCTACAAGCTGTTAAAATAAATTGCATGTCAAATTGTTGTAATTAGCATTTTGAATAATTTTCACGTTATTACCTTATTTTGCAGTTTACTATCATTTTGTATTAAATTATCTAAATCCAACATTATCAGTCCTTATGCTGAGTACTTCACATATAAGAGTTTTTTCTGTTTGTGTTTTATGCTGAAAAACAGATAAAGATTATTTATTTGACATACCTAGCTCTTCATGGGTGCTCCCCAATTATTTATGTTTAGTGCTTTCATATTCAATTAGATAAATCTGTGCATTTAACATCTTGAAAAGACGATTTAAATTTTTATTATTTTAGTATTTAAGTTTTTTTCTTTCAAAATGAATAAGTTTTTTATAAGGCTTTTAACAATCTGCATATGCTAATTCTTTTTTTGGTTGCAAAAAAAGAATATATATATATATATATATATATAAATATATATATATATATATATATATATATATATATATATATATATATATATATATATATATATTATATATATATATATATATATATATATATATATATATATATATATATATATATATATATATATATATGAGGAAAAAGTATTCTAAAAGCCGATGAGGAATAGAGTTTCGTCGTTTAGGAAAAAAACTAACAATTTTATAAATCTCTTTTAAAATTGACGTATGTGGAAAGGTGTGTTACTGGTACGGAAAGTTAGGATATATGTACTAAAAAAAGAATAGAAATGGTAGATGTGGAATAGACTTACAAAGACCTGTATGTTACGGGTCCAATCAGCTATTGAACATTGTTAAAAATAATTAAAAATTTATATTATTTAATATTGATGTAAAAAAGAGTTTTACTACACCTCATTATAACTTTTAGTTTAGAGATCATCCATAATTTACACAACGCTAAATTTCACTAATAAACAAAAACAAATATATATATATATATATATATATATATATATATATATATATATATATATATATATATATATATATATATATATATATATATATATATATATATATATATATATATATATATATATATATATATATATATATATAAGGAAAAAGTATAGAAAAGGTAAATGTGGAATAGACTCACAAAGACCTGTATTTTTATGGGTCACGTCAGCTAGTATATATAATATACAGGTCTCGGCAGGAGTAAATGAATGCAAGAGCAGCAAAAAGCTCTCCTAAAATGAACATGACAAGCCATGCAAGCTGCTCCTCTAAACAGCTTCTTAGAAGAGTTTTTGGTTAATATAAACATAACAAGTGTCATTTCTTGCAGCATAAAAATATTCTTTAGACGAACGTTGTTTTTACTGCTTATAAAAAAAGTTTTTTACTTTAAAAATTTCTTATTGTAATAGAATGCAGGCATTTCACAAATTGTTAAAAGTAATTACTAAAATGACTGCGTTTTTATTTTAGTTACAATAATTATTATACTCTTGAGAGAAAATATTATACTTTTGTGAGAGCCATAAATTGCTCTTGTAAACCGTTTTAGGGGAGTGTGGGAAGAGCTAAAGCTCTTGCTTCCTGCTGAGGCCTGAATATATATATATATATATATATATATATATATATATATATATATATATATATATATATATATATATATATATATATATTAGAGTGCCACTAAAAACAACTTTTTTTAAAATTGTCTGCTGCCACCCCCTAAATGTGTTCTGATGATTTATCAAAGAGTATATATAATTTTTATTTATCTACTTATGTCTTATTTCCAGTGCTGGATTGAGGAGGTGGGGGGAGGGGTAGATATTTATATATACATATATATATATATATATAAAGATTTACCTTTCTCTTATTTTATGAATAAGTGGATCAACTGACTGATCCATGTTTAACCATACTTGATTGCTTGTTCTCGTTTTAAATCTAGGGTCATTCTTACTAAGTTTGTGCAAATACTCTTTCAAACCAAATGTATTCAAAGTTTCAAACTCTTCTTCACTGATAATACCTAATAATAGTGTGATAAAAAAAAGAGTAAACTCTGCTAAAAAAAACTATTTAAAACAACTTATTTTCTAATTAATTGTATTTAATAAATTTGTTTGATTAGATATGATTAATATTATACCAAATCAAACAAATTGAAAATATCATAAAATTATTTAATAAAATAACAAGAACAACTTTCTGATCATTCAACAGCAGAAGACTTTAAAAACATTCAACAGATATATTCAACATTAGTATTAGTACTAGTATTCATTCTTAAAAATTAAATCTCAAAAAATCTTTCACTAAGTATTTATAATCATATGATTATATGAATGAACTAATAAAAATGTTTTCAAGATTAAGGTATTTAAAGAAAAAAAAATTTTTAAATGTTAAAAATATTTTCAAGATTAAGGTATTTAAAGAAAAGCATAGGTTTATAAAAAATTATAATCATTAAACATTACCATCGTCCATAACAGTCACATTCATCTTTTCCCATCTAAAAATAAACCAAATAATTATATATATATAATAATATAAAGTAATTATATATATATATATATATATATATATATATATATATATATATATATATATATATATATATATATATATATATATATATATATATATATATATATATATATATATATATATATATATATATATATATAAATGAGTTTACATAATGATTACAAATAAAAAGAAAAATAAATAAAATACACAAAAATAAACTAGTTAACCAATTTTTATATTTGTTTCTGTTTTTTAAAATAAATTTAATATGTGAAGAAATCGGTCATCTCTCAAAAGTTACACAAAAACCAATAAAGAAATGAATAATTTTTAAAATTATATTTGCTAAAAAAAATTTTTCAGCAAATTTTTAGTCATTAAATTAATCACAGACTTTAATCACAGACTTTAATCACAGACTTTAATGCCACCTTTTTAGTCATTACATTGATCACACACTTTAATGCCATCTTTTGCCATCTTTTTATCTTAAGTTAAAAAGATCTTATAAATAATATTTAATAATAAATTCTAATATATATTTTGTATAAAAAAATTTTAAATATACAAAGTTTTTTATCAATAAGTAAAAACAAAAAAATGTATTGTGAAGTTAAAAAAAGTTCACATACATATTTAGATAACTTTGTTTTAACATTAACATCATTTACAGCTTTCAAGTTTATTAAAAAAGAAAAGGCAAAAAAAAAATACCTTGCTCTACAATTAAAACACTACTTTATACTTTGATTTCAGTTTCAAATTTTAGTTTAAAGTAAGACATTTTCTAATATAAGTAGGTCTGAAGAAAGACTATTGCAACAATAACCTACTGCAACAGCAAATTTCAACAACTACATACTGAAACAACAACTAACTGCATTAACAATGTACTGCAATAACAACAAACTACAACAACTACATACTGCAACAACTACTTACTGTAACAACAACATACATCAACAACTTCATACTACAAAAACATACATCAACAACTTCATAATACAAAAACATACTTCAACAAAAACAAACTGCAGCAAAATTTAAATAAATAAAAAAAAGTTATAAAACTTATATAAAAGTTTTTTATCTTTATTTAACTTATTTATTCAAAAAGTAATTGACGACAGTGCAGGTGAATAATTCTGAAATTAATTGCCAGCAAGAAGTATTAAAATAAAAACCTATTTCTTTAAATTAAATATTTCACAATTAAATTAAATATTTCTTTAAATTAAATATTAATCTATTTCACAATTATGAGTATACCAATATGATTTATGAAGGCAGAGTTGCCGGTTCAAATAGTTTATCAGAAAATTTTATTTTTGTGACCATTTTTATCTTCTATTTCAAGATGTACATATAAAGTCATTGACCCAGTAGAAAGTTTATTGAGGATTTAGTTTAGACACACTTTTGTTTAATTAGATTTTTCTCTTTCTTTTCCTTTTTTTGCACCGCAGGTAGTTTATACAAAAAAATTAGCTTAGCTATCAAAAATAAGTATAATTTAACTGTTTATTTTTACACAAGCAAAACACTGCCAACATATACTTATTACAATTATATTGTTTGTTTTTTTTGCTTCTTTTTTATGTAGCAATTATACTTTAGATTTATTTGTCATCATTGCTGGCAATTATTTATTTTTTATTTATTTAAATGATTAAATAACTTTTTTTTATTTGTTAACACAACAAAAGTTCTTACATTTCTTTGATATCATTTTCTAACATCCACAATGAAAATGAGGCATGAACAACACTTATCACCTAAAAATTTGTTAAATTTCATAATTTTGTAATCACCATTATTGTATTTATATATATATATATATATATATATATATATATATATATATATATATATATATATATATATATATATATATATATATATATATATATATATATATATATATATATATATATATATATAATTATATATATATATATATATATATATGTACACTATTATAAATGCGTGTTTAGATAAGTACTGTGACATCACACTAAAATAGTCTGCTGCCGGGGGTTTCAGTACATACATCAAGTTCTTATAGCCTGCTGCCACAAAGGAATGCCACTACATCAACTGATGGTTTGTGATGGGGCAAAAATCTTTTCTTTTATTATTCTTTGTTTTTTTTCTTTTTTCTAAAAAAGCCATATGCTATAAAGAGAAACAAAATTAGTAAGCAAATGTTGATCTAAATAGATAGGAATCTAAGTAGATCTAAGAAGATACAAAAAAAAATTTGTATGCGCAGAATGTAATTCCTGTTATATAGGAAAAACTTCTCGATATTGGATTCTGCCTCCAATAAATTCGAGCTTAAAGTTAAGGAAAGTTTGTTCATTGAATGGTAAAATCCAGATATGAACAAACAGTTTTCAAATCTTATAAGATAACACTTATCACACAATAGTTACTATTTTATAAGTCTTAATTTAATTTTATTAATTTAATTTTTTATTTCATTTTTTGCTATTGCCTACTTTGTCCTAATTGATAAAAAAATTATAATTTATATTTTATTACCATAGAAAATTTGTCTACAAAATTGAATAAGTTTTTTAAACCCAACTGAAGTTGACTATAAAATAGTCGAAACATGCATTGTTGTATTATTTGTTAAAAAATTTGGTTTTTATTATTAAGTAAAAAAAATTTGTCTTATTTCTCAATTGTTTTACCTATCTTGTGCAAAAAAAAAACTTAAGAAATATATATATATATATATATATATATATATATATATATATATATATATATATATATATATATATATATGTATATATATATATATATATATATATATATATATATATATATATATATATATATATATATGTAAAATTCAATAAAAACGACTGCGTATAAACTTTTTAAAAAATATATATTTGTTTTTATTTTAATTTTTTTTTTTTCTCGATATTTTCGCTGATCTATTGTGATCAGCGTCATCAGGTGTAATAAATAAAAATCGTTTAATAATATGTGTAATAAATAAAAAATGATAGGTGTAATAAATAAAAAACAATTTTTATTTATTACACCTGATGACGCTGATCACAATAGATCAGCGAAATATCGAAAAAAAATATATATTAAAATAAAAACAAATATATATTTTTTAAAAAGTTTATACGCAGCCGTTTTTATTGAATTTTACATATTTTATTATTATCGTATAACAAGAAAATGGCTTTTAAAGAATATATATATGTATATATATATATATATATATATATATATATATATATATATATATATATATATATATATATTTAAACAATTTTAAAATGTATTCTACAAAATAGAGAAACACATAGAAACACTGCATAAAAAGTTTGGCTAAGAAATAATTGTTTTTAGGGGTAGCTCAAGTGCCTCCAATATTACAAAAATTATACAAGAAACGAGTCTAATCTATATATTTTAAACAACACAATTAAAATTTTTAAACACATTTAATATGAGTTCTAAGCTCAGTTTTTACAGTTTAGGGTATCAGCCTGACAATCTCCAGAGCAAACTCAGGAATTATTGTTTTAAATTCATGGTTTCGGCAGCCCAGACAGAGTTTGTTTCCTGCTATCATGGTACATTCTGTGATGGTCTTCTACAACTTGCAGCAGGAATTGCAGCTGCGTTTCATTGCGTGTTAAAAATCCACTGTATTCTTGAATGAGGGCCACTCCACGTTCAGCGTGGTCATTTACAACTTTTAAAGACTCGACTGTTTCTGCAGCCAACTTGTAGTCATCTCTGTTTTCCCACAAGTCCGGATCAACTGTTAGAAATCCATATGGCATTTCCATCATTCGGAGCAGATTCATTGACTTTGCTGTGACAAAATCTTCTAAGTTCTTGTTCCCAAATGAATCAAGATCAACAGTGATATGCTTCGAATGATCCTGATCTAGGTCTTCTTCATTTTGAATTGCACTCACCATCAGTCTCTTGGTTGATGAACTGACCCGACTGTCAAAGAAAGCCAAGCTAACAAGTTCCTGTGACAAATACCACAAGTGATTGGAAAACTTGCGTGATGTTGATTTCAAGATTGTTGAATGGATTGATGAATATTCAATCAGTGACTTCAGCAGCAGCAGATCATTATAAGGAGCACCTGATGCTTGAGGTGCAGATATCCAGGCTTTCAGGTAGACACGTACTGTGAATACACACACGTCACGTAATCCTCTCACTTCAGCAGGAGTCAATTTAAATTGAGCCTTAAACATCCAGATCTTGAGACTGTATATGACTTTGGACATCCAGTGGGCATGGTGCATTCCAGGTGACATGAATCGCACACCTCTGGCAGGAGCAGCACCAAGAAAAATAATCACAAGCACCAAGAATTCTTTATAACCATCCCTTGACTGACTCTGTTCAAGATGCTTGTTGGCATAATCGATAGTGTCTTGCTTTATGTCAGCCACGAGACGTTTGACATCATCAGTTGCAATCCCTGGCTCATAATTAGCCGTGTCTATGAAACCCCAGTATTGCTGGAAACGTTTGAATAGTGGAACTTCTGGACAAGATGTTGCTCCCATACACACTTGGAACACTGCACCAATTATCAGTTCCATAATGTGATGCCTACAAGCCAGTGATAAGAGCTCTTTCTCAAGTTTCTGTTCTAGGAGGACACAGGCACCAGCAAGCCGACCAGTATTTGAGCTGGTCGTGTCAAAACACATTGCACGGATGCTGTCGGCTATACCCCAGTTTTCAATGGCTCCAAAGACGGCAGCAGCCTGTGCCTCGCCTGTTCCAGAAGGAAGCTTGGAAACTGTGAGTAGCTGAGAGACTTCTTTTCCTGAAACCAATACGGGTAGGCCATCAACTTTCTCTTTTCCAGGTAGATCAGGAATCAGTTTGCTGTCCCAGTGAACAACAAGAGGAACGTTATCCCGAAACTCGGCTTTTATATTTGCAGATCTCTGGACTCTGTGTTCCAATCTGTGTCGGCGAATTGAGTCTCTGTTAAGAGCAAATTCATTGATATTCTGTCCTAAGCTTTTGGCAGTTTCTGCTATAACAAAAACAGCCTTGCGGTCTGACATTTTTGTTCGATCTAGAGCTGCAGCGAGTTCTGGAGTAACAACAGTTTTTCGTCCCCTCTTTCTTTTAGGTGTCTGAAAAGTGGTACCTCCAACAGCTCCCTCATCTGCATTGTCACTAGTTTCAGTCTCTTCAACATCCTCTGCTGTACTGTTTTCAGATTCAGAACTAGATGATTTCAGTTCAGCTGTAGAAACGGCAAGCTGGTTCATTTGCTCCATTCGCTGTTGCCTGGCAAACATTTGCTCCCTTCTTTTGGAAGCCCTTTTTTCCTTAGCAGCAAGTGTTTCATCTACTCCAGCCATTGACCCCCTTCTTCCCTTTTCTCGCTGGGCTACTAAGAAATCCTTGTCTTCTTGTAAAACTGATGTATTGGTCAGGGCATCGGCGTGAGCGACATCAAAGAGATCGTCAAGTCTTAACAAAAGCTGACTCTCTTCCAAGTTGAGTTGTTGTTTTTCACACTTTGTTCTTCTTAAGAAGACGCCATTCTTCAAATGTCTGTTCAAGCTTCGTTTGGCAGTTCTGATGATCTCTCATCGGGATTCTAGCTTTTTGCCAAAACTTTGTTATTTCCGTGATGGTAACAGCCGATGATTGTCTTATAGTCTCCTTTAATTCGAGATGGTGATACAAGAAAAATCCAAGCGCCATATGTAATGATGGCAGCTTGCTGCCTGTTAATTCAGTAATAGTTTCGCCAAGTAGATACAACTCAGTTTGAGATCTGGTTAATTTTGCTATTTAAAAAAAATTTGATATTTAAAGTCAGAAATTTTAACATGGTATTTTAATATATCAATCTTTTAATTTACCAATTAATAAGAATCAGGTACTGGAGAGAAGAAAGTCAACACCAAAATTATAGAAATCTTCTTTAAATTTGAAAATCAAGAAAATTTATTTAAACAATATTTCAACTTAAATTGCTATTTATATTTTAATAATTAAAACAATGCCTCTATTTAGTAAACAAAATAAGCATACAGCTTTAACAGTGTTGCTTAGTCAGCAACTCAGCATTGCAGTAAACATGTCTGTCTAGCTAGTGATCTTGTCTGTCTGGGATTATGTTTTGATTTATGTAAAAATTACACAGTCAGGAAAAAATTGAATCTGGGTTATTTCCATTTGCCATGATTGCATTGGTTGGTCAATGATCAAATATGATAGTATAGACCATAATTGTGGAGTATATGATGATTTAGGACTGCAATTTAGCTTTGTTGTTAAAATTAAGTTCTTAATTTAACATGAGAATTATTCTGGTATAAGTAATAATATTATGTAAAAATCAAGTGTAGCCAAACCGCAGCTGTCGAGTATCCGAAACTTTATCATCATTGAGCTACCCCTAAATATTGTTTAATTGTTCTCATATTTTGCCTGAATTATTTTTTCATATATAGGAACAAAATGAGAGGGTAAGAAGATCATATTTCAAAAGTTCAAAAATAAGCTCCACCCTATTCAATATATACTAAAAATCTAAATTACAGGAAGTTGCAAATGTCATTTCTGATGAGTTTTTATTGATGAAACTCAGTGTTAAATGAAAAAATTTTTTGCTAAGTGATTTTCTACTACTTTATAGTTGCTCTGTTCTTTTAAGAACATTGAGCACTTTATTTTGTAGAATACATTTTAAAATTGTTTAAATATATATATATATATATATATATATATATATATA